TTCTAATTTAAAATATTCATAAATTTTTTGCAAAAAAAACTCCATTATTCCCCTGGTTCAACGCTAATTACTCTAAAAAATTAACTTCGTCGACTTCGCTGTTTAACCACATAAAGGCCAATCAACGTGAGGAAGAATACAAGAACCAAATCAAGACCTTGAACACCCGTCTAAAGGAGGTACTATAAATAGTAGCAATTTCAATTGCAGTTTTTGCGAATCCAATAAAAAATGGACCCATTCAAAAAACCTAAATTTAGCGGAAACAATGTAAACTGCGAAACAGCGTTAATTTTTTTTATCAATCCAAAAGAAGGATTAAGCATTTTTTTACGGCACTTTCTTTAAGTGATGTGAACTTTTATAATAGGCTCGGTGATTATTAAAAAAAAATCATATATTCGAAGGAACACTTTAGATTTTCACGACGTAGCTGACTAAGTTCATCGCATTGTTATTGCTGTTGCAATTCTGCTCGTCTTGAACAGCTTCCACATTCAACATTTGAATTTTTTTTTTAACATAGGGACCACATTGTCACGTTGGCTCCTCTGCTCGCTCTGCGTTTAATTTTATTGAACATATTGTTTTACATACATATATATATGTATTTATATATTCGATTTATTGTTACATATATATAAAAAAAATATTGATTAGCCTCTAACATTAAATCTAGCCTCTGCTCAAAATATAAATTATAAATAATATAGTTTGCAATGCATATAAAATATCTACCGATTTATTGTTCTTATTGGTTGTAATTATTACAAATTGTTTTATTATCAATAATTTAATTCACTTTCAGTTTATTTGTAATTAAAAAACTTATGATTAACCTGTTAATTTAAATTATTTCTCTTCCTTTATTTTCATGTGTTACCCGCTCTGCTTGCTTGCTTGTTGTTGATTTGTACTTTTTGTTGTTGTAATACTTAATCACGATTATTGCTGCATTCCACGTCAAAACAAAAACACTGCATCATTATGTGTTGACGGACTGAATTATATATTCGTCGGCAACAATCAATGCAACAACAAATGTATAAAAATTAAAACGCCGACAACAACAATATTACCACAACTGCTATCACCTCTGCTGCAATCTAATACTAAATAAAATTAATAAAAACGCCAAATCTAAACGTTTCTTGCACGTAAACGTTTTTATTGTTTTTGCACATACTACTTTTTTTCTGCAACATTTAATGCGCTCAAATGTCAACGAAAAAATTAAAATAAAATAACACTACCGTCAAACGCTCGCCTAATAACGAATATGCACCTACTAAAATTACAACATATTTATTTGTTTTTTTGTCTACTTCGTGGAAAAAAAACAAAAAATAAATAAATAAAAAATACCGAACGCAATATTTCACCAATATTATTGTTGACTACTGGCGGCGGCATTTTTTATTAAAACATCTACGTATTGTGTTTGCTAACCCGCTGTTCTCCTTGACCATACATAAAAATGTGTCATAAATTGTAGGCCACGCAAAAAGAGGAAACTTTCGAGAGTCAAATCAGACTTTTGGATCATCAGTTGAGAGAGGTATTAATGCGTTTTATTGAATACTTAAATACTTGCCAGTAGTTTTCTTTTTTATTGCCAAATGACTGGCTATTAAATTTAGTATTATTTCATGTAATTTTTTAAGTAGCTTCCAAACGGTGGATGGGTATTAATATTTAATAATGTGTGGGTGTAACAAACTATTAATTTTTATGATAGTCCTCAGTTTGAGAGAGAAAATTTAATTTAAGATTAGAGAACTAAGGGGTTTTTCTGGATCGTTAAATAAACTTATTTATTTGTGCAGTAAGTCTGCACTTTTTTATTATCAAAGTCAAAGAGCGCCATATAAATTACTACATTTATAAGCTTCACCCAAAAATAATAATCTCATAATTAAATTAAAGTTTTATGTGTTAAAAAAGTATTTGTTACTTCCATAATTTCTTAAAGTTGAAGCTCTTTCTTTAGACATCACATATCCGTGTTCGCCTCTTGATTTATGTGGATATGAGTTTTAAAAAGCTTAAAAATTTGTAAATGGTTAGTATTTATGTTCTTTCCTTGTCTAAAAAATTACTTTCCAATGCTTATTTTAATTCGAGCTTCCCCATTTTGTACTACTTGTTATTGTTATTATGCGCCCTCAATGCTTGAAATGCGTGAATATCACACGCATAAATATTTTATGCAATCAAAAAGTATACGATATTATTATATACATATATGTATATATTTTTTATATATAAATGTATAATATCGAATTGCACAAATTGTTATTCTCAATTTTAATTAATGTACATACAAAATATAGGATCCAATGTGTATTCTTGTAATATATATATAACCTGAGCTTATTTTTCTATTTTTGTGCTAATACACATACATACTATATTTACATAATATTATTATAGTTTGCCATTAAAGTAATTTATAGAGTAGAGTAGTAAAAGAAAAGTATAACAGTAATTAGATAGCGAATCTATATGTACCCAAACAACAACAGCGATCACCACACAACAGAAAAATATATCATGGCAAGTAATAAATTAAAAATAAACAATTCTACAATCGATTTAGGAAAAATCAAAGAGAAGCTAAAATAAAACATGCCACAAGATAAACTAAACATTCGGCAGTGGTAGCTTAGATACTATCCTTTGCATTTCCATACAACCCCAGAACTCACCACAAAAAAAAATTGATTATGATTATTATTGAAGTTTGTTTTTTTATATTTATTTTTTTAATTTTTGTTTTGTTTTGTAAAACAGCATTTAATGTCCTGTCTAATTTAAATGTAGTGTACACTTGCATAAAATTGAAAACAACTTTTTGTGCAATGAATGACAGTGGCTGCGAAATATTGCAAAAAAGTTTAAACAAGAATAAATAAAAGCAGCAAATATTTCTAACATCACTGTTTGTAGCGGCGTTGATGACCCTCCTTGAGGCATTGCACGCCACAGTGTAGTGAAAAAAATATTTGTGTGCCGCCTTATTCTGAAATCCATAAACATTTTTGTTTGTATGACGTTTCCACTATATTATTTCTTGTTAGCAGTATTTATATTAATTCTTACTTCGTTCCACCTTTACATTTGTGGTTTTAACTTGTAATAAATTGCATAAGTTTTGCATTTTTATATAATTTATTTCCCGTTACTTTTAATCGAAACTCAAAAATTAAAAAGAAATACATATATGCATTCAAGCACACATTTCAATTATTAAAGCAGCGTTTGAAAAAAATCAGTTCGGTAGATATTTTGTATTATTTGTGCACCAGGTAAAAGGAAAGTATTACAAAATTAAATAAAAGTGATATATTTTTCTTTTGTGTTTGTGTGCGTCGCCGTTGCATCATCTCGTTGTTGTTTGCTGCGTTCCTTCGTTCATGTTTAGGCTCGTGAATCGCAAAAAGAAAGCGAAAAGGAGATTTTTCAAATGAAAATTAATTTAGAAACTGTAAGTTGTACTTGCCCCAGTTTGTGTAGTTATTTTATACGCATAAAGCCATACACAAGAAGTTTATTTCCATCGTAGATGCTGCTGCTGGCGAAAACAGAAGCAAAAGAATGTAGCAAATGTAGTGGCAATTTAACAAAAATAAATAAAATAAAATAAAATTGTAGTCCTTTGCTGTCAACTTTGTAGTCTAAACCAAAATAAATTGGAGAACGTATGAGGCTATTAAAAGCTTAAAAGTTGGTACTACTAGATCGTATGCCCGCCTATATATTTTCCAATCAAAGTTATTAAATAAGTTGTATTTTAGTGAAAAAACATGAGTAAGTTAAACATACCTTTAGAAGCAAGTGTTATAACCATAATCATAATAATGTGATTTAAAAAAAAAAGAAGGTAAAAAATAACTGTGAAGTATTACTGACCATATTATTTTACAATTAACATTATTATTTTATTTACGAGTTATGAATTAACAAGCTATTTAACAAACATAACAAAAAATGAAATCTCGTATGATTTGTTAGCCAGTAATTTTAAAAGTAATCAATAGTAATAAAAAAAATAAAAAAAGACGAGTGTATTGCACAGAAAACAATTTCGATAAAACATATTAACGCTGGTTTTGGTAGTATTTGTGAAGCTTTTATCCCCTGAAGTGAACTGATAAATTCTAAAATGTTGCAGTGACAAGAAGAAAATGGAATAATACTCACTTGTACTTAAATGTATAAGTGAAGTAATTTTTGGCATTATTTGAGCTCAAAAATAGTTTTTGGTAAAAATTGCAAAAAAGTAGTTTTTAAATACCATACATAAATTGAAAAAAGAAAAATTTGTTACTGCACATTTTTGCGTAGTCCATCTTTTATTGATTTTCAAATAAATGTACAAAAAATATTTCTCACACCATCAACTTATTTGAAGAAAAACTAAGACATTTTTATTTATATTTTCCTCACAATAAACACAAATTTCTACTCGGCAATCAAATTGAACATTGACTTTGAATCGCTACACTCAGGCTGAAGCTCGTGCTGAATTCGCTGAACGTTCCGTTCAAAAATTGCAGAAGGAAGTCGACAGGCTCGAAGGTATGTCCATTAAAGACTTTTTCCGCTTAATTATAAGAATTTAAAGTATACAATATAAAAGCAGAATTACATATATTTTTAGTAGTATTGTTAGTATACATATAGTACAACAATAATTACAATTTTACTGTAGTAAAATATATTTTGTATATGAATTTGTATATTACATAAATTTCGTAATTTTTGAGAAAATCGTTGAAGTTCATATTAATAATTTAAATTTTATTTGATAGTCAGTTGCTAGGTCACACAGCACATAATACAGTTAGCAACATTTTCACATCTGTGTTATCCTTTTGTTAGTGTTTTTCAATGTTAAAAAACAAAGATTTTGTATTTAAATATTTAATTAGTGTAATGTTTGAATTTAATTTTTTTAATTTAAATTACCATTTGTGAAAATACAGTATTTTAGCGTTATGCCAGAGAAGTATAGTTACTTAAAATTATATGTATTGTTTACCAAAATGTATTTTTATTCACATTTTTATATCTTAAATTTATTATTTGAACCAACGTTATTTTATTTTTGATTCGAGTTGTGCAACGGTGCGCTGCGAAATCGATAACTAAGTCATTTGTTGCACTTCTCTTTTCGATTATAATTTCAATTTATTAAAATTTGATTTTTTTCATTTTATATGCTTTCCCGCTCGCTCGTCTACCTGCTCCGCCTACTGCCTGCTGTTTAAATTATGAAAATATGCTACTAAAACTAAATTATTATCGTTCCAATTATTTATTATTTTTATTTTATTTATATCGTGTTTAATTAATGTTGTTAAATGTTATGTAATTTCTTAAAAAACGTACCTTAATTTTTGTGCTTTTATTTTGATGTATATTTATTTAAAATAATCTTGTGCTGAAAACCATACACTATATAAACGCGTTCAAATACCGCTTGAAATTGAACTAAATCGGATCAGATGATCTGGTAAACGAACGCAATAAGAACAAACTGCTGCAGGAAGAAATGGAAGTCACTCTGCATGATATTCAAAATATGTGAATATCATACGCCACATCAACGCCACTGCCACTCCCACTCGCTCTCCATTGTGGCCTCCTCCTTTACATGTATACATACAAACATACTTACATACTTACTGTTTTAGTATGATGAATCAATGAAACCGCTGCATAAAATAACCACAACAAACACAACTATTGTAATAAAAAACAGCAACTTGATGAAGTTTACAAAGTATGCAAGAATACATATATACATACATAACTACATACATATATAGTGCCTTTGCTGTCGTACACGGTGGCTATAAGGGCCTCCTGAAAACGAGCCGGCGGAGTGGGCATCCTTCCATAATATTAAAGTAATTAAATAATTATAATTATTAAAAAAAGAAAAAAGCAAGGTTTTGTTGCAAAACGAATAGCGCAGCGTTACATAAACTAGAGCCACAACAGCAATATTAAAATATTAAAAAAAAAAAGTAGAAAAGAAATCGCAATTTTTTTTATTTGTTTTCGGTTTGGTCGCGATAGGTAGTAGCAACAAACAATTCCATTAATTTCTTTTTACAAAGTTTGTATGCAATATCAATTTTTCTTGCTAATTATTGCATAATTCTACTAAGAAAATTGTAAATTATTTAAGCTCGGGTCTAAATTATATTATTGTATTTCGTACATTCCAATTATTGTGTGAAAAAAAATTCCATTTTACGTATACAAAAATGTATTTTTAACTTTTCCGCTTCAAAAGAGTGCTAAAAATTTAACGACACTAGTATAGTTGATAAAAGTAAATGAGAAATGTTAAAATCTATCCCTATAAAAATCGATGCAAAGTACTTTTTATTATTTGACATTAATTTATTAATTGTTTTGGCAATATTTTATTAGTTTTTTTTTATAAAGTACTTTAAATTAGCGTTTTGACATTTAATTTGTAAATTTTATTCTTATTTTTTGTTTTTTTGAGATCACCATTATGCGCCTGTTGCTAAGAAATGATTTGAAAATTTCAATTAAAACATACATACATATATACTACATACATACAAGTTGTATGCGAAGACATTAATTTATAATTTTATTTTTAAACATTTATAATTCTGTGCGCTCGTATGTATTTATCTGTTTAATGTTTAAAGCAAGACAAACAACTACTTTATGTATTAATAATTATTTACTTGATTATTTTAAAGTAAAATACATTTGCAAAAAAGACAAAACTAAAAATGTTTATAATTTTCTGTGTAATATTGCTAATATTTAAGTATTTCTCCCACTGCCCCACTTTTCCTTCCTATTCTTTCCTTTTAACTAGACATCCCACGATCCACATGTAGACATCCAATTAAAAGAACAATATAAATAGAGAAAAATTGTAAAAAGCAAGCCTACAAATTGTTACAAAAAAGCAACTCTTCGCTCGAGTTATTTACACGAGTTCAATCAAAATAAGAAGGCAATTATTTATATTTTTCCATGAAATACATTTACATATGATTCAGCTGCAATTTGCACAAATAAAGTATTTTTCCAAACATAAACTGAGCATTTTAAATGAACATACCCCCGTAGGAATAACTGTTTTGTTAAAAAAGTGTTCTGGTGTAAATGTGTTATAGTAAATTCGACGTGTTGTGCTATTGTAGTCCCGCCCAATTTGGGAGACATCACTTTAAAAACATTTACATGTTTACAGTTAGGTCGCCAACACTTTTGCAGGGAAAGTTCGAATTATGTATGCTTTTAGTGTTAATATAATGATTTTAAATTTCTTTTTATTTTTTATTTTATTCATCTTGCCTTACCAACGCCGTTATGTTTACTTTACTGCCAATCGTTAATTTAACCACAACAAAACAAAACCCGTACAACCAAAACCAATCTACCAACCAACCCAACAACCATTCCAACGCACAAATATATAATTAACCTACCAACATCTTTGCGCTACGTCGTCTGCCAAACTAGATGAGATGATCATAGAAAAGGAGCACTACGCCTTGATCGGCGATAGTCTTGATTTGGCATTCGTTGATTTGATGGGTATGGAACCATTCTACACCGACCGTAATCCCAAACCGCCAACACCAAAAATACCTACACCAACGCCTGAAGAAATCGCCGCTGCCGAGGAGGCGGCTGCTGCAGCTGAAGCTGCTGCTAAAGCTGCGGCTGAAGCGGCCGAGCGTGGTGAGGCAGTTGAAGGTGCTGCTGAAGGTGCACAGGCAGCTGGTGAGGGTGCAACCGTAGCAGCTGAAGTGGTACCTGAACCAGCGAAGGAACCCACACCACCGCCACCACCTCCACCACCATTTGAATATGCCATCGACTTGCCACCGGAGGGTGCTGAAGTGCCATACGTTAAGAACTTTGATCCCAATGCAATTCCACCACCAGCAGAGGAAGCACCAGCGGAGGGCGCCCCAGCAGCTGAAGGTGCTCCACCTGCGGAGGGTGCACCAGCACCAGTTGCGGAGGGTGCTGCACCTACGGAAGGRGCCCCAGCTCCAGCGGTTGAGGGAGCACCACCATCCGAAGGAGCACCTGCACCAGCACCACCTGCCGAAGGTGCACCACCAGCCGAAGGAGCACCGACAGCTGAAGCTACAACTGCCCCGGATGCTGACGGTGCGCCTGCTCCAACAGCTGAAGCACCACCTGTCTCTTATACACATCTAGATGTGTATAAGAGACAGCACCTGCACCAGCACCACCTGCCGAAGGTGCACCACCAGCCGAAGGAGCACCGACAGCTGAAGCTACAACTGCCCCGGATGCTGACGGTGCGCCTGCTCCAACAGCTGAAGCACCACCACCACCACCTGCGGAAGCAGCACCAGCTCCCTCAGCTGATGCCCCACCAGCATAATTAGATACTTAAACTAAAGGATCATCGAATAAACTACGATGAAATTGAATACTGTGATTAACTGCGATTTTCCGAAATAAAAAAAATTAAAAACAATTTTTTTTCTACAAGTGAAATACGATCTTGGATTTGCAACTTGCTCGACGATTTGTGATATGCTGCCTGAATTGTGCTCCTGCTCTTCTGTGTCTTAACGTCACGTCCCTCTTTTGCTTGACTAATAAAACCATTTCCACTAACAAACCAGCCAAAAATCTTCCACCTTACAACTTCAAGACATTCTTCGGACTTTTTTACATCCTCATCAATATTTAATTGGCTCTACTATAAGCTTTTCTATTTTATTTGTTAATTTCTAATTAAATTGCACATTATTATATTTTCAATCTTTTCACTGCTCGCATGTTCTTGCTACTATCTTCTCGCATTTTTGCTCATCAAATGATCATGCTATCGCAAATAAAAATAAAACACAAAAAACATTCTGAACGCGCTAATACTGTTCCGAAAAAAATCAAGATGATTTAATTGTTGAGAAGGAGCGTTATTGTCTTATCGGCGACAGTCTTGATTTGGCGTTCATGGATTTGATACCAGGACTTGAACCATTCTGGACACCACGTAATCCCAAACCGCCAACACCTAAACTGCCAACGCCGACACCCGAGGAAATTGCCGCGGCCGAAGCTGCCAAAGCTGAGGCAGAAGCAGCAGCGGCTGCAGAAGCGGCGGCAGCGGAAGCAGGAGCCAACGCACCCGAAGGTGAAGAGGGTGCAGCAAGAAGAGCTTCTGGTGCGCCTCCAGCTGAGGGTGCACCAGCAGAAGCTGAACCAGTTAAAGAACCAACACCACCACCGCCACCACCACCACCGTTTGAGTACTCCATTGATTTGCCACCAGAAGGTGCGGAAGTGCCATTCGTTAAGAATTACGAACCACCACCACCAGGCGCAGAACCAACCGAGGGCGAAGCTGCTCCTCCAGCTGAGGGTGCTGCACCAGCGGAAGGGGCTCCAGCAGCACCAGAAGGTGGTGCACCGTCTGCAGAAAGTGCACCAGCTGTATCTGCAGAAGGTGCACCGCCAGCAGCAGCTGCACCACCACCACCACCAGCTGAAGGTGCACCAGCAGATGCGGCCGCTCCCGCACCAACTGCCGAAGCGGCTGCTGAGGGTGCACAACCCGCGGAAGCTGCACCTGCTGCAGAGACAGCTCCCGCTGCAGAAGTAGCACCCACTGCAGAGGCAACTCCAGCTGCAGAAGCTGCGCCAGCCCCAGAAGCAGCTCCAGCGCCGCCAGCAGATGCAGCGCCACCCGCAGAGGCTGCCCCAGCTCCTGAAGCCGCACCAGAACCTGCGCCCACCGCTTAATTTTTAATCATAAAAAACTAAAAAACCCAAATTAACCCATAAGCACCTGGTGTGCAGGGCGCGAACCTCTTCTTTGGGCGTGACAATGTCATAGGCGTTAAACACAGCCGCTACCAAAAGCTGCCAGTTTTAGTTGTTTGCATGAACGCGTTTAGTTTAGAGGATCCATAATTATTTACACACATACAATTCTTTGAATACCTACCTATTTAAGTTAAAACTATGCATTTGTTATGTTTTTTCCTAATTTATTAATAATAAAAATCTAAAAAAAATAAACTCTTTTGAGCCAATGTTAGGTATTGCATTGCTATGAACGGAGTGTTTTTGTCTTTGCTTCCTTCATATTTAATGCTAACAACGATTTGCCACGCTTGATTCAATTATATTTTTGTTTCGAGAAAACGCTATTTAAATAATATAAGAGTAAACACCGCAAAATGACGCGGCAGCCGCACTAACAATTCAACATGTCGCTAAGCCAATATGCAAATGAAGTTGCTTTTGAACATTGCGCCGTCTAATGAAGCACGAAAGGTAAACTTTATTTAAATTTTTAGTTGATTTTGCATTTTTATTTGTTTATTGTTTATATATTTACGTTTTTTTCTTGAACTGGGGAAAAAAATTTTTATTTATTATATTTTAAATAAATTGGTTTTATTTATATGAAGAATATTGCTTATTTACAGATAATTATTTCAAATAAACTGTTTTAAAGGAATTTTTAAAGATTTTGATAACTGTTAAGTTGCATCGCGAATATTTACAAAATGATACAAAAATTTTGTGGTGTTGCCGGACTATTTCTTAATGGCAAAACATGATTGAGAATTTTTGCAAACAACTCGTGTTCACTATTAAAAATCTTCTCAAAATTCATGTTTAATGCGCGAAATATATTAATTATTTTTTATCACATTACAATTTCACTTTCACTATTTTTTATGGCACTCAACTAAAACAATATAATTGTTGGAGTTGTTTGAAATTAATATTAAAATTATATTTTGAATTGTGTCAGATACTGCATTAAAAATTCTTTTCTATTAAAAATATTTACATTTTCGAACTAAACCACAATTTTGAATGCAAAATGTTCTTAAAAAAATTAAATTGGTCTTTTTAAATATAAATATAAAAAATTAAATATAAATAGTTTTTTCAATATAATTAAAATATGAATATTGATATTAATTTATATTTTGTTTCTATATGTACATACATATATGTTTTATTTAAGTTACTGTATTGTTTAAAACGTATTATATATGTCCTTTATTTATATACTCAATTTTATATGTAATTAGTTTATATATTTATGTTTTTTAACCTAATTCATCTTACAGAAGATGGTAAACTGTCTCTTATACACATCTAGATGTGTATAAGAGACAGATCTATTAAATATCATTTACATTTTATTTTAATTATTTTACACCTTTCTTTCAATCTAATCAACTTCATTAGACGACCTTGTCTCGGAGAAGGAACGCTACAAGGATATTGGAGACGATCTCGATACCGCCTTCGTCGAGCTCATCCTCAAGGAACAATAAACACCTTACAACAATTATTGTCACGACAAAACCCCAAACAACAACTACAAGCAGCAGTAGTCCTAAACGAAAAGCAATTCAATTTTCTTTATGTGTTTATAGAATATATATTTAGTTTGGTTAATGCAGCGGCGACAACTTGTGTATCAATATTCGTTGCTCGCTTTTCTCAAAGCGTTGATTTGTATTTCGTATTTTAGACACTTTTTAACTGTAGTCGTTGCCCTTAGGTAGTTGTGAAGCTCACTGAGATGATGTTAAACAAGCAAAAATATTAAATTGTGTATTTGTATTCATTTAGTTTTATTATTTGCATATTTTTCATTTCACTATACCACTAAAAACTCGTATAAACATTTATGTAAAACCTATGCACGCTCTTGTAAACAAATTTTAAAAATAAACAAGCAATAAATATTGATTTCACGAGCATATAAATGTTGAAAAAATGTATTTTATTTCCATATTAATAATTTATGATTTAATTGCTATATTTTGTGACAAACAATGGTAGCAGATAAATTCGTTATTATTTCGTTCTTTTACATTCATCATTGACTTATATTCTTTATTATCTCTTACATGCCTTGCCTCTGCAAAAACAAAAACAAAAAAAAAAAAAACAGCCGAAGTCAGCAAAGGCCTGGAAAAGTACAAAACCATAGCACAAGAGTTGGAATATGCCGAACTGAACAACTACTAAACATTTGCGCTACTGCAATAGCTGTTTTTCGGCATAAAAAATATAAATACAAACTAAGCATAAGCGAAATCAACAGAAATTCATACACTTTTTCAAATAAAATATTATACCACAGTACCAGTGAACTGGAAAATGTAACGCCGATCAATAAAACAATTCTGAAGCAAAAAAACAAAAAGAAAAACTGCAAAGCTGCAACAAGGATGACATTCCAAATATAAACACATTACATATTACAGAAATACAGAAAAAAAACATTATTAAATACAAATTAATTTAACATATAAACTGCCTTCTTGCTAACTAAGTAGTGAAACCATGCATTGGTATCAAACGATTTTTTATAATAATGCAATTTATGCAAATTTATTTTAAGCAATGTGTAAAATTAAGCCTTCATATTAAAAATAAAGAAAATATCAAAAATTTCCCAATTAATTTTCGCCACTAACATTGTTGCTTGTGTATGTGTGCCGCAGCTTTTCAATAAATCGAAAGAAGAATTTCCTTTCGCATAATCTTCAATACAAAATCCAAATAACCTTCAATAAAACTCAATAATTACACACGCAAACATATATATATATATTTTTCTATTGTACTTTTAAGCTTTACTATATATTAAATAATATACATACAAACTCTAGGGCTCTTAAAATTATTCGAAAAAATAAAACCGATTATTCGAATATCCAATTTGTAACCTTTCGTCCGAATATTAACTAATTAATACTATTCGATCGACGACTTCTGATTATCCGGATACTGCAAACCGAATATTATTATTTGAATAATACCCTATTCAGTTATTCTGCTTACTCGAATAGTAGCAAGAGCTCTAATACCAACGGGAAAAATTTGTAACCTTGTTCTACTAGGAGGCAATTGCCTGGAAATTTTAATTCAAGTGTAATTTCTCTATAATAAAATCAAACATAATATATTGCAAAATAGTTCAAAAAACGGCGATGTCAAGTATACACATTTAAGCAAAAGTATGCATAAATAAAATAAATAGCACATATACATATGTACATGAGTATGTATGTAAATGGTGCGCTTTTCTAAATTGCATAAATTAAGCGAAAACTATAAAAATGATTGTGTACTAATGTGAAAAACAAAAATACAAATTGTGGAAATGATGTTTAAATAAGGCATAATATATTTGAAAATATACATGTATTTATAAAAAATGTTTGATAAACAAAAACGAAATAAAATAGTCGAATAGTTTTCGCAAGGCATTTGATGAATTCGAAGTGTTTTTCTTTATTGAAAAGTATCAATAAGCCGACTACAAATTAGACCGGAACTAATAGGAAGCAGATATACATATGTATTTTTAAGCGGTTTTAATCTGGTTCCTATTGTAAAAATAAACAGTTAGGAAACATCTGGATTCGCCAATTTGATACTTTTTGTAAAGCCAATTTTCATTTTACCTTCAAAAAAACAACTACCTGGTGAGAGAATGCAAACAACTGTGGTTAGCAACACAACTTTTTGCTAACGAGGACATATCGCTTCCGCATTTTTAAAAAATACTCTACATTAGTATTAGGCGATTTAATTCGAAAAAGCCATCAAACTGAAAAATCGTTTTGTTTCTATAAGATGCATTGGAATTGAATTCATATGGCTTGTTCTTAGTGTTAAAAGACAGTTTTTCGGACGAAGAGTTTGTGAGATATAAAAAAAAATCGAAAAGACGGAATTTCATGTAATAATAAATCACTATTTTTTATTAAATAATGCTACTGATTATCCGAATGAAACGTCGGAAATCCTATAAATGATCAGTAAGATGAATTTTTAACTCTTGAAACTTCTTGCTACAGAGTATTATAGTTTTGTTCACCTAACGGTTGTATGTATAACCTAAAACTAATCGAGAGAGATGGTATTGATAGCATAGGACGAGAAAAGTTGAAATCCGGGTGACAGTCTGTCTGTCCGTCCGTTCGCGCAAGCAGTAACTTGAGTAAAAATTGATATATGTATGTATGTATCTTGATGAAACTTGGTACGCAGGTTCCTTAGTACAAAAAAAATTACGAGTTCGTAGATGGGCGTAATCGTAAGTGCCATAACGAAGCACTTAATTAATTTATAAGATTGTAATTTGTCTCAGAGGATCGCAGTGGCAAGGGGCACCTGTGGACAAAAAATTTGGAAAAAGTGGGCGTGGCCCCGCTCTTTAATATGTTTAATGTTATCTCCTAAACCACTAAAGGTACAACAACCAAACTGAATATTATAAAGACTCCTAGCGACGGTGTGGAAATTGGGAAAATCGGAAGATAACCTCGCTCACTCCCCATATAACGGTACTGTTCAAAACTACTAAAAGCGCAATACATAATTACGCCAGACACATTAAATTTTACCTCCGAGATGGCATGAGACGGCTTTATGCGAGCCGCTATGAAACTTGCACTATGGGCGTGGCATCGCCCACTTCATGGTGAAACCCCATATCTCGGGACCCGACCTGTGTCACAGTGTAAAAATTAGCGAAATCGGACTACAACCATGCCTACTTCCCATATAACACAAAAATAAATACCATCTGATTTTTTCACATTCCATTACGCAAATAAAGATGTAATTAAAGTAACGGAATAAAATTTTGCAGTAATAATTCCCTTAAAGTATGCCACCTTATGACCAAAAATTTTCCAAATCCAACCAAAACTATTCAAGACTCTAGGTACCGAATATGTGGACCCCAGTATCTACATATAGTTGACTACCATATAACCATTATCGAACATCCGGCTGATTTTCTATAATGACTACGTATTGTGATTTTGGTTTAACAATTCTTATACCGAATATATAGGTCAGTGTATAAGTTATATATAGTGTGGGTATATAAAAAATTGCTTAGATTCCGAACCTTTAGTTAATGTTTTACATCGTAGATATTTCCCTCGCTTTGATTTCTGAGTTGCAGGAGTATAAAATGTTCGATTGCACCCGAACTTAGCCCTTACATGCTGAGATATCGATTTGAAATTTTGCACACCTTCTTTCTTCCCAATATCATGCCCATTTGTCGGAAACGACGATATCGGACCACTCTAGCATATGGCTGCCATACAAATTGATCGATCAAAATTCAGTCCTTGTAGGGAAAACTTTTTTGTTTGATGAGATGTTTGCACGAATTTTGGCGTGGATTATTGCTTAATCTGAATCTGAGGAAATTGGTTGCATTTGTAATAGAAAATAAAATCAAAATATTCCACTAAAAGATAAAATAAATTCATTTGTGAATCTATATGCTTTTTTATAAATTGTCTTTGTTTTTGATATTCCAAAACAGTTATTATTGCAAAAATGGGGTAATATTTCCGATAGCCTTACTTTGACCCAGTATATTCGATAGATGCTTCGTTTTACAATTTCTGACTTTTGGAAAGCCAAACGTTTATCTCAATTTGTTTACATAAAGTATATATTGTTTTTGTGGGATAACGATCTGGTCAGTGTTACTCGCCAGAAGGCAAATAGTTTCAAATATATACAAGTGGGCGTGTGCGTGGGTGTTACGGTCATAAAAACGATTTGAATTTACCAAATAATGTGGAAGTTTGATAAATATATACATATATTTTTGTACTCCTGCACGTCTTGTTGGGTTGCCCACACACAACTATTGATTTTGATTTGGGATATTGAGAGCACTTACTACTTCGCTGCTTCGCTTTCCTTGTCTATTTTCGTAACAAGTAAATATGTAGCTATCGGAAGTGATGTTGGTTCTTCGTGTTGAACATTTTTTAGAGGAAATTATTCAGATAGTTATTTAAAAAATGGAATTCATGAAAAAAAAAATCACTAATAACTATCAAATCAGAACACTATTTTGGATTTTCCAGATTTCTGGTTGACTAATGAATGCATCTTAATATGTAGTTCTCTTCTTCTCTCAGGTTCGATTACTATTTCATCAAGCTAAATAGTTCTTTTAGTACCTCTCCAATTTTTATTCCCGCATTGCTAGTAAAACTTTGAGGTTACTGGTTGATTTTTTTGTCATAAAGCTCTTCTTTAACTAGTGGCCTGACTACTAATCGGAACATCGTGAATGCTATCTGTCAATCATAATAACATTCATTTTTAGCATGAATAATTCTTCGAAATCGATCTGATAATTAGACGTCGAAGTATTTCTTAGTCTTTTCTTAGCGAGAAACACTTGTCTCAGCAAAGCTTCAACTTACCTTTTCCAGAGACCTACAACACAATTTATGAGCGTTTTAAAATCATTTGCT